GAATGCCTTCCAACCCCCACTTCTTTCTCTCTTTTACTTACCTGCTTTGATGGTTAGTATTAGGGCACATTTTAATTAGCATTCTTATGCTATGCATGTGTGCATTCATTCATTAATATTGCATGCACCGGGCTCGGCGCATCATACTAATTGCATAGTATTTCAAATCTAACTTGAATACATGTTATCTGTTGCATTTCACATGCCATCCATAGATTAGCCAAGCCTATTCTAGCTGCATTTTGCCTGCGATGCATTAGCCATATTAACGTGAACTAGGATCATGCATGATTACTAACTAGTTTCTTGTTTTGGCTCGGAGTACACTGTAAGTGTTTATGTCTTAGCATCCCGCATGAGTGTGAATGTTAACATAGTAGGATGCTTTCTATGAGTCTAATTGCTTAGTTGATTTACTGCCTGAATGCTTGTGGGCGAAAGTTGGATTGCTTGAATTGGGACAATTCATTGAAATCCGTATTTTAGCTTACTTGCGAGTAGCAAAACTCAAACCATTTTTCCGAACAAACGGATATGCGATGCTTTGTTCCAAATTAGGCGATCTAGTCTATACTTGTGTGTTGTGCGCATTACATAGTAAATTCTAGCTAATTAACTGGAATAATAACACATATGTTTTCAAAACAAAATGTCATGTTTAGTACAGGCCGATCTTCGGATCGGGCGAGCGGGGGTGCTTATAGCTGACCTTCCCTAATCGTACCAAAGTTCCTGAGCCGAGGCAACTTTGGTGATGACGGACATGTGGCTTTAGGCAACGAGTCAGGGTTTCCTAAATTCCCCCAAAACAAAATATTTAGGTGGCGACTCTGTATCTGGCAAAACAGTCCATGTTTGACACTTCTTCCTTAAAAATCTGTTTTCCAAAATGATTTGCCGGATTTGGACTCTTTGGTGATTTATCAGTCTTGCATTACACATTGCGAGACCAGATTAAGAACCGTGACATTGAATCCTGAACTGTAGTGAGCCCCGAAATGAACAGAACAGGATTTCCCTCCCGGGACGTTCGGGGACGTCTACGCTCACAGATTCAACAATAGATTTAATTCCAATACCACAGATTTAATTCTAAAATCACATATTCAATTCCCCAAAAAAAAAACAGAGACAGATCTGTTTGCACATAAACACAGATTCAATATCTATTTTTTCACAGATCTATTGCTACAAAATAAAAATCAGATTTAATTCCTAACAAACACATACATTCAATTTTCACTTCTCACAATTAGATCTGTTGCTACAAAAAAAAATTAATAGATCTGATTGCATAAAATAAACAGATCTGATGAGTTGAGAGAGTGAGGAAAACAAATTAGAGAGAGAGTGGTCTGATATGTCGTAAAATAAATCAAAGATTGAGGAGAGAGAGAGACATACACACACATACACAGAGAGGCTTACTTGTGAGGTCGATCGGTGTGATGAGAGAGTCAATCGATCGGTCGATCTTGCGATGAGAGAAAGTCTATCGGTACAGGTGCAAAATCAGAGAGTGAGAGACCGATGAGATAAGAGAGTGAGAGACAGATCAAAGAGAGTAAGAGAGATATCTGATATGTTAGAAAAAAAATCAAAGATCGGGGAGAGAGAGACAGAGACAGAGACTGAGACTGAGACTGAGATTGAGAGAGAGGCTTATCTATGAGGTCGATCGGTGCGATGAGGTCGATCGGTCAACCTTGCAACGAGAGAGAGTCGATATGTGATTTGGTGCAATGCAGATGATAAATGCGAGAGTGAGAGACAAACTGAGAGAGTGAGTTCGTGTTTTGTTTTGGAGTTTGAGAGATATTAAGATTAGGGTTTTTTTTTTTTTTTGAACAGTCAGATTTGAAGGGGAAAAAAAAAAGTTTTTGTGGACGGATTGGGCAGGTGTGGTTCAAACCTGCAACCGGCCCGCAACTAGAAAATTAGATAAAATCCAAACTGCACCCTACCCTAATGTGTTTGCGAAATTGCCCATACATTCGCAGTTCGGATCGGATAGGGTGGTTTAGGCGGGTCGGATAACCCTATGCTTAGCCCTAATATAAACCCATTCAAAACCTTAAGCCTTTCCAATATGGGACAAGCATATTTCACAAATGTGTAGGAAACCCAGCTAAAACTATTTCACGAACCCGAAAGCGTGTGTTGAATTCTCATTCATCCGGAAATAGTTTTAAGTAACCAAATACACGATATTATTCACTATGTGGCATTAAACATAAACCCAATTAGAAACGTTAAAAATAATGCTTAGGTCCCACCTTAATTAATGCTCAAAGTTAGCAAAAAATAAAAATTTTGCAAAGCCATTTTCCTACACGCATATATATGTCCCTACTTATTTGGAGGTAAGAAAAATAAATGACATTTCCACAAGTCTTATTTTATGGACTTATATTTCATTTCTTAATTACAAATTTTTAGATCATCAAGTCCCATTATTAAATAATGATTGTTCATTATTTAATATTGTTTATGAAATAAAAATAAAAATGTATGATGATGTAACATTTATTTTGATTTTCAAAACTTTACAATATCAGTTTTAAAACTGAAAAAATTGAAAATTGTATCTCCAAACTAAAAAAATTGAAAAGTTTTTGTCAATAAAAGAGCATGGCAATGGAACATTACTATGCAGAACTAAAAGAAAAAAGGGCAAATTACATATACATCCCTCGAGGTTTGGCTAAATTACAGATGCCCCCTGAGGTTTGAGAAATTACGAATTCCCCCCTGAATGCTATATTTGCATAAGAAATTAGGGGGTAATTTGTTATGAAATATAAACCTCAGGGGGCAAATTGTTATGAAAATACAAACCTCAGGGGGCGGGATGTAATTTCCGAAACCTCAGGGGGGTATCTGTAATTTAGCCAAACCTCGAGGGGTGTATATGTAATTTGCCCAAGAAAAAAAGTTGATAATGTTCTTAAAATTTGAAAAATATTGATGAATTTCTTAATTTTACTGGACAGTTTCACAAATTAAAAAACTATCAAATTTTATACAAATAAAAAAATAATATTTTATTTTTATAAAATTTTATATTCAATATTGGCCTTGTTTGATAAATCTCATTGCCTAGGCTCCAGAAATATAATTTTTATTAAAAGTAAATGTATATAATAAAAGTTATAAAATTTTTAAGTTTTGAAATAATAAAATAAAAGTAATGAGTTAGGAGACAAGTTATCTAGTATTATTGAGATATGATCATGTGGTGTTGAGGATAGCTGTGATTGGTAGAGAGGATATGACTCACATTTTTGTGTTGGGATATGAGATATAATGTTTGATAATTGATGAATAATATGGTCATGTAGTGCACTTAAAACACTTAATAAATTTTCTACACTTTTAAATTCTTTTCGCCTTTTTATAAGAATAAAATAGTCATATAAATAAATAAAAATTTGAAAATGGGACCTTAATAGTTATAAACAATGAAACATAATTTAATCGAATACAAACCTTACAATTAGGACTTTGAATAATTTCCACAAAAATGAAATGAAAATTTGGCAGATTTATGGAAAGAATAGAGCCGGACCCTAATCTCATTTTTTTAACGAAATTTATTTGCAACTTTTAAAATAAAGTAAAATAAAATAACCTTGTCACTACAAAATCAAGGGACTCAATGGGCTGGACTCAAGCATCTGCTAACAATATTGACACAGAACTTCTTGTCTTCACTCAAAGTTCGGGCCTATTGGGCCCGTTTCATGTTGCCAGCCTATTAGGTTGAACTCTTTTTTTTATTTCTTTATTTTTATTTTTTTGTTATTTTAAATGTCAGAACCCACACGAATTATACCACCACCACAGATGCAAACCATATGCACTCTATTTGGTTGAGTTTTAAAAATCATTTTCTATTTTTTTTCTTCTTTAGATTGGTAAAAAACCATTAAAATGTCATTTTGATATTTTTAGAAGATATTAAATGTATTTATGTTAATTATATATATATATATATATGTATGTATGTAAACAACAATAAAAACATATGTGATACTTATGTATTTTAAAATTTTGTTTTGAAAACAAGTGAAATGAGTGGTTAGTAAGAAATAATTGTTGACGGTTAAAGATAATAAATAAAGATAGTAATCAGAGATTGTTGTCAACTTTTGGTATGAGGTAGTTGGTGACTGTCAAAAGGTATTGTTCGTCGCAAGAAGTGATAATCGACGATTGAAAATGGTAATTGACCGTTCAAAGTGGTGACTGAAAGTAATTGCTGTCAGTAATAAGTGGTGCTCAGAAGAAGTCACTGGTGATGTTGGTTATGAGTGGTGAGTAATGGCTACAAGTAGTAGGAGAATGAGAAAATAATCAATTTTTTTTTTTCTTCTAAACAAGAGAAAACATACATATATATATATATATATATATATTGTGATTACAATAAATTTATAAAATTTTTAAGTTGTTTACAAGTTTTTAAAAATAAAAATAGATGCTAAATATTTTTTGTTTATAATTTGTAAATTTTGTATAAGTATAAATAGAAAATTGTAAATATAAAAGTTACTAATCAAAATTAATTTTCGTATGATTTTTTCTTTTTGTGATGAAAATGATTTTTTAAACTAATTTATATATATAAATATTCTAAAAAAATATAAAAAGCTTAGCTAATTAATGAAAATAGTAAGCTGAATCACTAATTTGCTTCTTCAACGTTATGAGGCTCTTTCTTGCATTATATTATAGTTACTAGTGTTGGATTACGAATATGTATTGTTAGATAGTGGGTCTTTCTTAAATGGTTAATTGTCTAATTTAACATGATTTTTGTGATATTTGTAAAATTACTATCAATTGCCAAAAATAAAAATAAAAATAAAAAATTCAAAACACAAGATTCCACATGCTGATAAGAAAGACCCAGACCAGCACAAGGACAACCTCAACCAGAGATTTGGGTGCAGCAGTAACCCAATTTCCAAACAAGCCTTTGGAAAAGCGGTTCGACATTTCAGGCCGCTCTATCCGGTCTAGTGCTTTGACGAACCTGTTAGAGCTTTCACAGTCGCAGCTAGGGCACACACCAATCTCCATTTAGAGAGAGAGAGAATGCCATTCATAAGCAAGACACAGAGACAATCAGATTACAATCTCTTCCCTTCAAGTTGTCCAATTGTTATCGACAATGGCGCTTCCTATTTCCGAATCGGGTACTACATTCAAATCTCTATTCGATTATACATATGTATTTGCGTGTATATATATATATATATGTATATGTGAATATTGATATATTGCTCGTTGATGATTATGAAGATGGGCAGGAGAAACTGATCCTCGCATTATCTTCCGAAACATCGTTCAAAGGCCACGCCATAAAGTTACAGGTACTGACGATTCTTTGGCATTTTTGACTCTGTTATAAAGCATTGTTATTTTAGCAATTTGATCATGTAAGTGATATTTGATGTTTGGGAGTAGTAGTAAATCCTGGAAATGATGGTGGAAAACCACATCCATGAAGCACGGGCATGGATACGAGTACTCGTACTAATACCATATGGATACGTCGATACGGTAAAATTAAAAAAAATAAGGGGCTTGGTATACTTGTAAAAAAATATTTATTTTTATTTTAAAGTAATGCAAAAATTAATTAAATAGTTTAATTTGTTAAGGTCAAACCTACAATTAATATTTAATGGTGGTGTTTGGTGTAGCTGTTAAAACAGATTATAGATTATAGCTTAACAGATTATAGATTATGACTTTAATCAGAAGCGGTTAATCTGTTTGGTATAGCTGTTGGATTATAGATTTAAGTTGCTGAGTAGTGTTTGTTAAATAAGCTGTGAAGTAGCTTTTTCAATTAATTTTTATTTTTTATTATTCACTATTTGTCTACATTTTTCATAAAAAATAATAATAATATTTAATAGTCCATTTGAGTCTTTTTCTATTTTTAAAAAAATAAAAAATAAAAAAATCTAAGAGTATATTTGATGTTTGGGAGTAGTAGTAAATCCTGGAAATGATGGTGGAAAACCACATCCATGAAGCACGGGCATGGATACGAGTACTCGTACTCATACGATATGTACGTCGATACGGTAAAATTAAAAAAAATAAGATACGGGTGCGGCTTGGTATACTTGTAAAAAAATATTTATTTTTAATTTAAAGTAATGCAAAAATTAATTAAATAGTTTAATTTGTTAAGGTCAAACCTACAATTAATATTTAATGTCAAAAGTAAATGTATAAATAAAAAAATAATGCTAAGCATAAAATAAAAATTATAAAATGAAACAACATAAAACAAAAAATTAAAAAAAGTCTAGTGAAAGGAGTTTTGTCTTTGTAGTAGAAGAAAATATTATTTCAATTGAGGTATGGTACGACTTGGGTATATACTAGGTACGTCTACGTACATCAAAAATTAAGAAAAAAAAATTTGGATAAGTATTTTGTGTACTCAGTATGTATGCAGAAGTACCATACAAGGTATCATATGCCGGTAAGTACCCGGTACAGGTACGGCATGTTTTTTGAAGTACCTATGCTTCATAGACCACCATTGATGGTCCAATATGCTTCATAGACCACCATTGATGGTCCAAATCGTCTACCTCGTAGACCTAGCAGAAAAAATCAACTCCGTCGGACAATTGTAAACACATGAACAAATATCAATTTATAAAATGGATAGTTTAAGTGTACAATTACATTTGTCGTTCATACTATTAAAAAAAATACGATTTTTTCTTGTGTTTTTAATTGTTCGATGAAGCTCATTTTTTTGCAAAGATAGATGGTTTCGATCATGTGCGGGCCTAGATTGGGGCCTACAAAAGGGGTATGGAGAGGTATGGAGATAGAGGAAGGTATAGAGGGGACTTATCCCATCATATTGTGCCCTAACCCATTATTAAAATATTTCCTTTTGCTTCCCAATTCTCTTATTATGACATTGGAGTCTTGTATATAATAATATAATTTACTGGTTTGGAAACAAAGACTAGTAATTTTATGCAGAGTAAGGTTTCAGAAAGAGATATCGTAAAAATATTTCTGACCTTCACCCAAATAGGCCAATGCTTCTGGTACAGTGCAAATTCTATAATATTGTGACGTGCCCTAAACTTTTGTATTTTGTGACCCACTATTGAAATATTTCTTTTTGTTTCCCAATTCTTCATTGACATTGGAGTCTTATGCATAATTCTCCAGTTTGGAAATAAAGACTAACAATTTTTATGTAGATAGATAGATAACGCATTCTTAATGCTGTGCCTTAATTGTAATATCACACAATAACCTTTGCCTAATTTATTTGGTGTCCTAGGTGTCTCATAGAACATATGCAGATTACAGATAGTTCTCTTGTTAGGATTAGCAATTTTGATTAGAAAATGGCTGTTTCTCCCCATTTTTTGTGAAAAGATGAATTTACACTCATTTGAGCCATGAATTTCGTTCCACAGCAGTAAACAATGAAGGTGAAAGAATAATTTAAAGGTCCCTCAATTCTGTTGATATCATTTTCAAGCTCTCAAATAAGAAGGATACAATTTTTGCCCGAAAATGCATGGATTTTGTGGTCATATACTGTAATATATCCTTGCATATCATGCAAAAAGAAAAAAAGAAAAGAAAAGAAAAGAGAAGAGAAGAGAAAATGAGATTGAGTTGAATTAAGTCCCTTTGTCGAATAAATGATCTTTAATAGGAGGTGGCACATTGATAATTCCCTAGGTCAAATGCTTGTTTAGTTATTTAGCTCAAGATTTCTTCATATGTTATCCCTAAGGATAAACGCACCAATTGTTAATAGGTTGAGATATATCGTATGTGGATATGAATCTCAACAATCCCTTCTTGATGTATGTATTATTCATGGAGTTCATGTTGACAACACCTTTGTTTTTTGCTCCCTTATTAGGTGTTATATTTATTAGAAATTAGAATATTATCATTCTGTCTATCTAGATAGAATTTTTTAATGGGGATGATGTTCCAAGAAGGCATCTGTTTCACAATGCAGACATTTTATTTCTGGGTTTAGGTTATGGTTTATAAAGATTAAAAGGTTAGTTGTTTGTTTGTTTGTTTTTGGAAAATCTAATAGAATAAGAAGAAGAAAAAGAGAAGGAAAATTCTAGGATCTCACATCCAGGTTTTTAGGCAATCAAACCCAAGAAAAGATGCTTCACACGTCCACTAGTAATAGGAAGCAAAGATTTCTCCATTCATCATTCAAATAGGTTAATTCATCACTCATGTATGTAATGGAGGCAACTTGGTGCCTGGAGAACTTGGGAACCAAGCAAACTTGGTGCTCAACTAATTGTTGGGTTCCAAGGAAAAGGCCAGGACAAGGGTGGTATCTGAGCTCTAAAGCCTATTAAACTGGACCAAACTAAGTAAATCAGCCCATAAACAACATCCTATGTTGGCAGCCCACCTTACAGCTCATAACACAAAAATATGTTACTGCCCAGCTCAAAATTAAAGAAAAAACATAGAACTCTTATAGAAAATTAAAATAATGAATTTCCTAGGCAAGATCCAAGTTAGAATATTTCTGAATAATTATATTATCCTTGTCTGGTTTCCCCCTTCATTTGTTATGCTTCCCATACTTTCGATGCATGATATTTTCATCATTTTTATTTGTAGTTGTTCCATATTGTGTTGGTTGGGAAAAAAACGGTGGGTATAGAGAGATGGTTGTGCTTTTTTGACATTTTTCTCATGATGTTGAAACTTATAAAGGTGGTCTTTTCTCACTATGGTGCTTATCTGTGTGGGGTGTTTGATGTGTACACGAGTGGATGTGCTGTTACTAATCAACGAAAAAAGAAAAAAAGAAGAAGAGAAAATGTGCTATTGAACAGTTCTCTTATAGATTTCTACAGAGGTGAAGTATAGGGATAGTGCTATAGTTTTTACACTTTCTGATGGACGCAATTCTCCTTCATGCATTCATCAACCTCCCTTTGACCAAGAGTGCATTGTGTGAATAACACCCGTCAAAAGCAAATTTGGGAATTTATTTATGGACAATCTCTACAAAAATAATCTGTTCCGTTTTGTTGTTGAGCATGTATCATGCGACTTATGAAAAAAAAATAAGAAAGAAAAATGTATATATCATGCTAACATCTAACTTCTTCTGTCTCATTGATCTCTTTGATTTGGCTTCTAGCGGGATGTGCCAAGGGGTAGGTATTATGGGCTATGTGGTGATAGAATTTACAGTATGGGGGTTCTATTATATCCTTTCCTTCGAGAAAATGATCATCTACCAATGACTTGCTTTAACAGTGTGCGACTCAGTTGAATAAAATTACTCTTATTCATGTATTTATTTGTGATGCAGGTGAAACTGTCACAATTGTTGGTGACCATGATCCTGCATTGATGAAATACTTTGATTGCACACGGTCAGGACCTCGTTCGGCCTTTGATAGTGATGTTGTCTTTCAGTTTGAGATAATGGAATATGTAAGCTTGATCCAGTTTTACTTGTGACTAATGCTGGCACACTTGATATCTCTTTATCCATGCTATCAATCAAATTTGTGGACACATGTGAACACCTCGTCATGTGGCATTGCCACATCATCTCGTACTTGGCTTTGTCACAGAATTTGATTCCATGTGTCAGTCTTATGATAACACATGCCAATCATACATCTCCAAATCCTCACCACTGGGGTCGAGAAATGCCAAAAAAGGGTAGTGCGCGCAATGCCCTGGCCCTAATTCTATGTATTTGGGGACAGGGCTTTAAATTGTTCAGCCGCTAGGCTGAGGACTCCCCGCACAAGCGTGCTGTTTTGCAGTTAGCACTTGTTACTCTTGCCTCGACCAAGTTGTCCTTCATGTTAGTGCATTTTTGCCTATTCTTGTCTTCCCTGCCAAGATCAATGTGTTCATATTTCAAGCTGCCTCATTCTTGGTGCCTGCTCGGTTTGCTTGGCTTGCCTATGTAGCCATTTTGAACACTTGGTCACTCAGGCCTATACACCTAACCTAGACACCGAGAACCTGTTTTGTTTATGAAAATTGCCAACACACTAAATCCTATAACAATATATTATGTCATCAATGCTAAAATAATTTGCCTCTCTCTCACATTTGCTTTTCTTATGTATTTTTACCTTTTGATCTCTGTGTTAACTGACCTTGTTTTATTGTTCCTCATTTTGCGATAATAAAATTTGTTTTATGATGCACCAAACTAAAAAAGAAAAAAATGTTCTATATGGCCAGAATGTAGTTATCATGAAATCGATTGTGTAACAGACAACTTAACACATTACTTGTCAAAATAAACATACCCATAACACGTGAAGCACAAGCACATTGTTTGAAGCATGAAATATTAGCCCAGAACACAGAGTGTAGCATCAAGAAAATTCTTGTTCTTTCAAGTTGGAGCATGAAATGTTGAATTGAAATAGAACCACTGAAGAAAACTATTGGTCTACTGCGTATCACCTGCACCTTTTATAATTAGGTTTAACCTCCCACATACCCCCTCCCTCGGTTACTATGGAATTTTTAATGCAGTTCTAGAGGCCAGACATGATGTCATGCTTGCAAAGTCACATAAAAGATTTTACAACTAAATTGTTAACCGAGAATATGAAAATTTTATAGATTTGTGGAGTGTGAATGTGTATCTAATTAGTTATTGAATTTTACCTTTTTTTTATCCTCACATGTTATTTCTTGCATTTGTAGATTCTTGACTTTGGATTCGATCGGTTGGGTGCAAATCGATCACAGGTACATCTAGATTTTCTTAAGGAGCATATATATTCATGTTTAATTTGCACAAAAAGAAAAATAAAGGAAATGGAAGTAAAGGGAAAAAAGAAAAAATAATACAACAAGGGTTCAACAATCCATTTACAAATTATGTGGAGGAAAAAAAAACACTAGGCTTTTTGTACAACAAACTCCTAAATAATTTTATTTAAAAACATTGAAGCTCGAAAACAAAGAATGTGAAAGTTCGGGTTCAAATCTTGATAGTTATTTTATTTTATTTTTTATCTCTTGTTTGTAGATGTGTAGAAATGTTCCTTTTATAGCTCTTGTTTGATTGTTGGAAGTAGTTGGAGTGCATTTAATGCAAAAAGAGCCATTGAAATGTAGCCGCTGTACTATCATATTTGAAATTTCTGACTTTGGTGTTGGCACCGACTTGGAAAACCAAATTCTTTCAACAAGGCTAGAAATTCTCCTCTGTATTTTTTAGTCAACACCACCAGAATTTGGTATTGAACTTTTTTCCAGCAACTTGAATTTTTAACCTTAGGTGTTCCGAAACATGTCCAAACACAAATTCAACTTCAAATAAGGTTAGAAATGAATCACCCAAACATTAAATCAAGATCAAATGAGTTCATTCATGGATCATTGAATGTAGATCACAAGATACAACATGATTAAGCACAATACAAATGTTGTAGATGTAAAAATAAAAGTTTCTCAGGACTCTAAGATAAGTTAGTATTGAATTTTTGTATCACAAATAGATTACCAAACGATCTCATACTTGGAGTTCTTCAATCTAGACTTCTTGAGAGAAAAAGATATACAACATTTAAATTCAAAGGCCCTCATTTTTATGAAATATTTATGAACTACAAATGATAAACACATTAGATCCTTATACATCATAATGCTATTTGTTAGCTAAAATCATAGGATGTTTGCAATTTAGAACACAAGTTTATCA